GCCCTAATGATTTGGAGATATCAAAGGTTAAATCATAGGTGGAAGTTGAAATTGAGATGAAGATTAAAGTTCAGCTGTCAGACAGGACTATTCTATGAACTCTGGGTCAGTGCAGCAGTTTAAGGTTAAATCATGCCCCATTATGAAGAGCCCAGACCTCTTTCTGGAGGACCTCTTAGTGGGAGCACCCTTCTGGGGGAGCAAAATAAACAAAGTTAAGAATTTGAAGGTACTCTTAAAAGTATCTTGATTGACTGCTTTCAGAAGGCTTGAACAAGCTTCCTGGGAGGCTATTATGTTCACTAAAAAAAGATATGCCTCACTTAGTGAGCATCTGTTGGCCAGGAGCTGTGCTAGGTGCTTCATATTCTTTTACATAGTAAGCTTTAACTCACAACCACTGGTTTAGAATTCCTATTTATTTGTGTAAATTATTAAAATGAACACTTTTGAATTTATGTTTTAAACTTGCTTTATGAAAATGTAAGCTCCTAAAGTGAATGTTACTTAAACCTCAGTCCTTGTCCCTGATGCCAATCCAAAAATCAGGACAAGGTTTTGAGGGGAAAAATAAATAAATAAAAGAAGAAGAAGAAGTTTTATTGCTTTGCCAGCAAAGGAGAAGCACAGGGGACTCCTGTCCCGGAGGCTGTGATTCTGCCCATCAGGGAAATGAGAGAACTTTTAAAGAAACTATTCAAATGCTACATTCCAGATGTGTCCTGACAAGGGGTCCCAGGTGAGCCTGGATAGCATGTTGCTTGTTAATTTGTTAATTTGGGAGATAGTCACTTCCTAGATCTTCCAGTGAAGTCTCCTTTATGTGGAGGACAGATAACTCAAAGTAATCTTGTTCCTTGCCCCCAGGTTAGGGAGGGGGGAGTGGGAGAAGAGGAAAAGAAAAACAAGTCCCTCTAAAAATAAGCAGCAAGGGTGAAGTGGACCACTGTCACCAATCTGTTACCAGATTGAATAGGTATAAATTAACAAATATTTATTATAGGTATCTATTAACAAATATTTAGGATTTGGTTACTCCAGTACTTTTTTCAATCTCACTGATAATACTTTGGTGAACATACAGCTTCCTGTGAATGCATTAAAGTGAATCTGATATGTTTGCTCTGTAGTTCACTCTTTGCAACTGAACTTGTAAATGTAGACTCACAGAAATGGGCATCATAAAGGGTGGGAGAAGAATTTAGTGAGCTTTAACAATCACTGTACTTCACCTTTTTAATTTTTGTTACCCAACAGCTTACTCAGTGTTAATAAGTATTCTATACTCCATAAATGTTTTTGGTTCGTTGACTTTTAATGTTTTTTAAATGTGTTAACAAATTCTGTATAGAAAGATAGAAACTACTCTGAAATCAGATTGTTTACAATTTATTTTGTTCAAGCTGTATAAATTAAAATTCGTAGGCAATGAAATATGTGGTGCTAGGCATAGCATTTCAGATACAAATACATGATTCTATGTATGTCTCAATCTCTGCCCCATGGGGATTTTAAAATTAAGAATATTAATGGGCTGGGATTGTGGCTCAGTGGTGGAGTGCTCCCCTAGCAGGACCCAGGTTCGATTCTCAGCACCACATAAAAATAAAGGCATTGTGTTGTGTCCATCTACCAAAAAAAAAAAAATTTCTCTTAAAAAAAAGAATATTAATATTTCTAGAAATGTGAAATTTCTATGAGAATGATGCTGTTGGCAAACATGAACAACTCTTCACCTGTAGAAATACCATCATACTTGGTGTTCATGTTTATTGCCAGTAAGTTTATAATTGTGAAATAAATAATATACATTCCTATCTTATACACAAAAGTTTCTATTTAGAAAATTAAGGGAAAAAAAATAATTAAAAAAAAAAAGAAAATTAAGGGAAAGAATAACTATCTACCGAAGGAGCATAGTTTAATCTGTTTTGCAGATGAAACACATTTGCCAGTTTTGATTTTTGTACTACTTGCAAATAGTGTTCTTGTTACAGAGTATGCATAGATTGATACAAGTAGAATAATTCAGGACTGATCTAGATTTGAAAAGTGCACTGTTAGTTACAAGTAATTTTTAAGAGCTAGCTTCAATTTTGTGCCTCCATATCACTGCTATGGATTTGGAGGTGAGCATCAATTTTAGAATAAAGCTATTCAGCATTTTACTTAGTTTATGAATGTTATACCCTGGTGTCATGTATCAAGTTCTTTTGGAAGGTGGACTCTTGAGACTCTACTGGGGTGTGCTTTGGAGAACATTGTGAGGAGTTAGGGATACTGAAGAAGCAAGGGGAAACTGGACTGTGGTACAGTCAAAGCAGGAGCCTTAGACCACTCATCCTACTAGGAGCTTTAGAGGCTTCTGAGTTTCCTGCCTTGAGGGAAAGGCAAAGCTATTGAATGTTTGCACTCACCTGTCATTTCCTGGGGACAGCAATCTATTTGCTCTGGAGGTCTACCTTGGGTGAGGGTTATCAGCCACCAACAAACACCCCAAGCAGTTGAGGAATGAGTGCTAGGGGCTGGGATGCTCTGTGAAGTACCTCATAGGTGTTGCACCTGCATTTGCATAACAATGGGGGAAGTTCCACAGGTAATTGCGTTTTAAATTTCTCCCTTCAAAGGGGTGAGAGAAGATAGGCTCCTGTAGTTTTCCTGCAACTTTCCAAGGTTAAGTGAGTCTTGTTTATGTTTTCTTCCCCAGTGAAGTAAATTCCAGTTACAACATTGAGAGAGGACCTTGAAATATATGAATAGGTATAAATTAAGTATTTACCCTAGAGGAGATAAGGGGTAGATTAAATTAGCAATTAAATCAACATTTTAATTCTTTTTTCCTCACATTGAGCTACATACAAAGTAAGCTTTAACCATTAACTTCTTTGGAGATTGTAAACTAGGGGCATGAGCTTAAAATGAAATAATTACTGAATATATTGCTGCTCAAATGAATTCTTATAATTTTAAGTATGGAATGTTTCTGTGGAATCAGTGTAAAAAGGTAAAGAGTTTACCTTTTTTCTTTTTTTCTTCCTCTACATGATATTTTATGATGTTAGCCTTACCTAATTCGAGGATGTTAAAAAAATCACGGTAATAAATGTATATTAATATTCTTTGATTCATGACATAAGTGAAAATAATTTAAAATTATTGAAGATCACTATTTGTGGACATGTTAAATCATACCGTTGATTTCAACCAAAACTTGTTTCCTCAGTCTTCAAAAGAAGTACCAACCAAAAAGTTATTTAGTTTAACTTTTATTAAAGAGAAACTTTTAAAAGCCAATACTAAATTCACAACAGTTCCATGACTCAAGTTTTATAGATGTCCTCCCTAGAAAAGGGCACCCACACTCACTGTGCTACCAGGAGGACAGTAAAATAAGTTTATAGTGTACTCTAGAGAGTGTTGACTTGCTGTATTTTGCTTTTATCTCTGTTTGTTTTAACATCTGTCCTCCATTTCCTTCCTTGTACTGTTTTTTGTTTTATTTTATTTTATTTTTTTTAATTGGTGTGCTGATTCACACTTCAGTCATTGGCCTTACTCTGGTTGAGGAATATTTCAAGAGGGAAGTTAAAACAGTGAGGGAAAAAATACTGTTTTTGTTAATTTGGCTCCAGCTGATTTTATACCTAGAAGCAGGAGAAACTGATGGTTCTTGTATATGGTTAATTAAATCTTGAGCTGATGGCTTTTGTTCTAGGTCTTAAGTCATCCACCTTGTTATCAGAGCCTCTGCCCAGCAAGGCTAGGCTTCTCTATAGGGAGTCCTTTCAGAATATTTACTTTGTGCTCAGGTGACTGACTGAAGGCAAAGCAGATGGTCCCTGTCCACTGGGCCAGGTTGTGAAATTTGAAAGACAATCAGTATGGGGGCCTCCCTTGACTTTGTCTTAAAAACAAGATGGCAGGCAGTAAGTGGCATAGACAGGACCTTGTCCTCTTCTTCCAGTCTCTTAGAGTTCTTTTCTGTGAGGGAAGGAAAAATCTCACTGCATTTTGTTTTCCTAATGCTTCTTGGATTCTCACCAGCGGGTTTTTATACAGGCTGTTGCTTGCCTCTCAGATTAGAAGAATGCTGGCATATTTTAACAGTTTCCTAGGATTCAAACAGCCTTTAATTAACAGCAAATTGATGTTTTGGAATGTTATCAAAACTTGGGAGACTGAACACGGAGGCTGAGCTTCTATCCTACTAGCTTCTGAGTGACATGGAGTCCTAAAACGGGGCAAAGGTGCATGCAACCTTGCAAACAGCTGGCTGTCCACTGGTATGGCAAGGAGGGTGTCTTTGTTGATATAATATTCACATGGCCTACTCAGTGGTGCCCATGTAAATTCCACCTACTCCTGCCTGTGGTGGAGGCAGGCAGTTGTTGAATACTGAGAGCTTACAGGGGTGCTGAACAGCTCAGCCTTTAGCACTGGATTTGTTGGTTTTTAATCCTCCAGTTGCTGGGGCAGTAAGGTATGTTTGCCCGTGTTCACAGTGTTCACAGTTAAGTTTCTTTCTTGTGCCAGATTCATGTCATCTTACTACCAGAGTTTTGCATTGGCGGAAAAGAGCAATTCTACTGAAATAACCTCTCAGATCTGAAGCCTCTTCTGAGTAGTAGGTTAGTGGTCAAAGAGGGACAGGCAAGCCAGCCATGGAGAGGGTTTCTTTTTGAATTCAGAGATCTTGGATTTGTTGCTGACTTGTTCCAGAGCTCTAGGCAGGAAAGGAAAAATGAGTTGGAGAGTTTGAAATATTGACCAACACTTGCATAACCAGACAATTATAATCCAAAGAAAAGAAGAGCTTGACATACTCCTGCTGCCCAATGGCAGAACTGTTCACTGGCCAGTTCCCAACTGAGGTCAGCAGACTCCATGTCTTTATTTTTTCCAGTGATCCATGAAGCTGGCCTCTTTTCTCTCAAGAGAGATGGTGGTGCTTTTTCCATGCCTGATATCCCTGATCATTCTGTTTCTTTTCATCTCCACAGGTGGTACATGCCAGAGTCCTGCTCTCCCAGCCCTGGTCCGTCCACCAGCCCCTCCTTTGCAACCATCGCTGGATATTAAACCATTTCTTCCCTTTCCTCTTGACACTGCGGCTGCAGTCAACCTCTTCCCCAATTTTAATGCAGTAAGTACCACAACGAAACTTACACCTATCAGAGTGATAGGTGCTAGAAAAACTTAGAGGACGGGGGTGATTCAGTTTACAGCCTCTTTTTTGCTATAGAGTTGATTCCATGACTTGTCTGAAAGCCATGGTAAACTTAATTGTCTGCCTGGTTATGTCAAATTCCCAGAGCCAGGCTCTTTCATGGGAAAAAGAAAAGAGATTCAATGTGATTGTGTGTCTTCTGGATAACACCAACAAGTCTATTTTGTTGTTTGTTGTTGTTGAGATATGTTGAATTTCAATTTGACCTATCTATTAGAATTATCAAGTTGGTGTCTAAAATAAATTAAACATGTGTTTCTTGTGTCTGAGTCTTCTGCTTTAATGTTCAAATCTAATACTTCTTTCCTAATTTAACAAAGAGAGCTCGGATAATGACAATAGTGTTACATTTCATATATACAACACTTTTTTTTTTCCTCCTTAAAGCAACTCAGGGCTCTGGTAACAAGAGTTTTAATATCATTTTCCTTCCTGCCCAGCCAAGTTAAGTCTGTCTTAAATTACTTTGCTTCTTTGGGTTTTGTCAACAGCCTTCTCAGCACAAGTTCAATTATTTTCTTGTTTCTGTTTCCACTTTTAAGATGTCTTTATAAGTTGGTAGATTCATCACATACATCATAATTCTTATTTTGTGCAAGCTGGTTGAGAGTATTTTCAGGATGGAAACTGGAGTAAGGGTTGAAAAGGTTAGAAACAAGTAAGTGACATATATTTCAAATATCATCCGATTTGGATTCCAGCAGTTGTTATAATGCAGGTCTGAGCTTATCAATGACAGGATATGTCAATACAGCCAAAGCAAAGAGGATTAAGATGAGAGGTTCCTGAATGCCTGGAGATCTAAATAATACTTCTTTTTGCAACTGCTTGCCCCCATGATAGAGTTTAAAAAAAAAAAAATCTGCCCACAATTAAATAATTCTTCCTCGGGGGAAAGAAGCAGATATTGTGTTTCCTAATAGAACTTTGTCACAGGGACTTTGGACGTGCTAGTAAATAGTACAGAAATGTACTGTGCTTGTCCTTGCTCAATGGCAAGGGGAAATAAAACGATGGGGAGAGGAATTTTCCATAGGAACCTTGTTTTGAAATGGATAGGGCAAAAACAGAGCAGCATAAAGATCATGTTTACAAAACACAGGTTTCTAATCCTAGGTATTTCAAGAATAGTAGCGGAAAAACTTGCTTGGCATCAAATTCCCTGACACTTAAATGAATACACTGAAGTCCCTCAGATCCCCTTCCTGGAGCTCCTAAAGTGGCTTCCTGGCACAGCCTTGTCCCCCCCGATGCCTGGGGGATGATCCATAAGAGGTGGTCCACTTAGCCTTGGCTACCACTTGGCATCTTGTCCTGCGGGTCCCATAGCATTAGAGAAGTTTAGGTAAAAATCTTGGAAGCTTATAAAATACCACGTTTAAAACTTTTGATTTGTCTTTCAGGAGACATTAAAAGCCCATTGATTAATCTGACTGACAATGAGTCTTTTTTTTTTGTCATGAAACAAAGATGAGTGACATGCTGAGCTGTGAGACACCCAGCAAATCTCTTCACCTTCTTTGCTGCTTTTTCCTATTAGAGATAAAAGTGGACCTGATAATCTCTTCTTATACTACTGAGAGATTTGAGTGTTTTTTTTTTTTTTCTTGGTGGGCAAAGGCAGTGTTATGTGGTGGTCAAGCTGGGCTCTGCAGTTAAACTTATTTAAGTCTCAGAACTACCTCTTATCCTATATTCCCTGTGTACATCACTAGCTTCATCCATGAAATGGGACTAATATAGCACCCTTTATAGGCATGTGATAATGATAATGTTGGGTAAATCATTCTGAACAGTGTCATGGAGTGAATGGTATTGTGTTCAGAAGTAACTTGTGAATCTTTTTAAGTATAAATGTGAGAGTTCACTGATGGATTACTAAAGTTTGACTTGATTATTTTTCCTCTCTTGGATTTTGACTTGTGTTATGTGTGTCCCTTAAAGCAGGCTGCCCTCTGTTCCTACTGCTTATTCCTTGGTAATTCCCTTTCAAGATTGGCCTGGCTGCAGCCAACTGAGGGTTAAGATGCTCCTTGCTCCCAAAGGAGGGGAATCATTGGAAAGCCCATAATCCAAGTGACTGTGGACTCAGAATTAGATCAGAACTGAATTCTTTATTTTTTTTAAAGCAGATGTGAATCTCAGTCCACAAATTTGGCATGTAGAAGATACAATGTTTTATTTTAATAAATTGATTTCTGTTTTAAAAGGGCTCATTCCATCAGGAGGTAATTTCAATCTAATTTTGTTTCAGGGTATGCTAAATTTCTGGATTCTAACAGGTTATCTATCCAACTTTTGGTGGGAGACATCTCTGATCAAATTATTTTTCCACATAGGCATTCATGAGATATGGGCAGCCTGTGGTTAGCATAGCCCTTAAGATACTTGGCTTTTTCTGTAATTCACTTAAGACTCACAAACTTTAAAAGGCTGCGAGTTGTCCTTCATGCACAGATCCACCACACAGCTGTTATTTCTTTGCAGAAAGTGATAAACCATTTTGCCAACCTAACAGTTTTGATCCATCTAACATTTTCAGAACAAAGTCCACAGTGATCAGACACTGTCTGTTATACATTCCTCCTCTAATGGAATATGAAAACACATACACACACACAACACACTCACTTACTCTACCCCCAATACGTAGATGTTCTTCATATGTGAAATCCTTTATATATAGGATATACATAGGCATTTATATACATGGATATATGTGGAGAAGAGTGTGATGTGTATGGAATCATCTCTATGTGAGGTAGGATGTGGCTGAAAGGTAAAGGAAAAATTTAAAAACATTCTTGTAAGATCAAATATATAAAAACATGGGTAGCTATCTCTGATCATTGTACTTCTGCAAGAGCATAAACCATTAGTATTTGCATGTGTGAAGGGCAGGAAGGATAATGAAGAATCTATGAAAATAAGCACTGTTAGGAGGGAAAGGAAACAGAGATAGAATCAGAGCTGATATATGGACATAAAAGAGGAAATTCAACAAAATTATTAGGATCTTTTGGTCTCAAAGTCAACTTTTGGGAAACAGAAGTTCCCTGGTCTGGGAAATGTTGTGTCTCTAGATGTTTCAAGAGCTTTAACACTAAAGCAATCTCTCCTTGAATTCCTCCTGTACCACCACCCTGCCCTTTAATCTCTTAAGACATGGGGATTTCAGTGCTCAAAAACACTGATCTCAGTGATCCACCCTGAGTCTTGCATTTCTTGAACAGAACGAATCCTGGAAGTGAATAGATGACATTTAGGAAAGAGAATGAGCTTAGTCCATTCAGTCAACTCCTATTTATTAAGCAGCTGCTATGTGCCAGGAATATTGATAACAAAGAGTACATCATGGCCCCTGCTATGAAAAGAAGTCAATCTGTAAAGGAAAAGTTGACAAATAAGGACATATTCACAAATACGGCTGCGTTGATAGAGAAAGCTGTATAGGATAAAATATCAGCTTGGGGACAAGAGTGTGTTTATGACATTCTGGCTGTCCTAGTGGAGGTTTGTGAGGAAAAATAAACTATTCTTGGAATTCAAGCAGGAAGGGATTTAATGTAAGGCTTTAAGTGCTTACAGAATCTTTGTGGATGTTGGGCAAATGACAGTCTAAGAAGGCTGTTTTAGGCTATTTTTTTCCCAGCTTGCTTTCACGGAGTCAGTGAGTTGCAGAAACACAAGACACCCAGCAAGTCCAGTCAAATCCCATGGAATGCCTCTGATCAGTGGAATCAGCCAAGTTTGCATGTGCTGGCAGGGATCTGTGGGCATGCAGACCTTGGGCTCCTATCCTTGTGATGTGGGGGCACCGTGCAGGGCTGCCCATGGAAGACCCCTCTCTGTGGCATGGTACAGTGAGATAGGTGGAGTCAGAAGCCTGATAGAGTCTGTAAGTAAGAGAGAAGGCTACATTCATTAGATGTCCAGTGTCCTAAACTATGAAATTAACATAAACATCTCTGGTTTATTATCAGAGGTGCAGATGGACTTAAAATTCTGGAGATTGAAGCTGAGAATGGGCTTGGGCAAGACCTGGGAATGTTGTCTAGAATGGGAGCTAATGAACAAAAAAATGATTGTGTCCTTTGACAGTTTCTTCTCAGGGTCTCACAGTGGACCCTTTGTTTCTCTACCATATTTTCTTCAGATTAGGATCCATGGTTATGGCAATGGAGAATGTGTTTGTGGGGATTGATGGAACCTGATTCCACATCCTGCTTCCCATGGCTGTATCTCCCATTGGCATGAGGAGAACTGAGAAATATGGAGCCTAGGCACCTGTATGTGTCAGCTCCTCATTAAATATTGAGCCCTTCTTCCTTTCTGGAGATGCAGAAGGAAGAATGAGGAGGTCATGTGGAGAGGGCAAAGAGGCAGAGAGGAGAGTGAATAAAGGAGAGTGGCTGTAAATGTTTTAGTTAGCTCTGGCTTTAACATTGAACTGGACCTCAATTAGCATAGAAAAGTTGACTCTGGATTCTGTGCTGCTCCTCCATAGGCTGTGATTTCATTATGAAAGAGAGAAAACTGGGGAAGGGAGGGAGGTGGGGGTGGGGCGCGGGACAGCAGGAGAGATCAAATCCAGCGCCTGATTCCACTCTAGCTCTTTCTGTTTCTCAAAAGTACCCACTGTTGGAAATTTGAATGCAGCATTAGTTTGGGTTCTGCTCAGCAATTTTGGAATTTTTATCAGTTTGGCCACAGGAAAGTGGTGATTTCGTTATTTATGGCCTTGCTTCTTCTATGTATCAGGGAAATCATGTTAAAATGCAGGTTCTGAGTCAGTTGTTCTGGGGTGGGGCCTGAGATTGTGAACATATGTAGGAGGGGAGGGAGAGCCAGGAAAAAATATTAAAAGCATTGAACAATTCTTCATTCATTTCACAAATATGCATTGACCACTTACT